GCCTCGAGTGTGGCGTCTCTTTCACTGGAGCTCAGCAGATTGAGGTACATCTGCAGGGCTTTAGAGTGGAAGAGCCAGCCGGTGCCTTTAGGATTGTTGTCCTCCATCACGGGATAGTCAAAAACGCTCTGCAACACAAAGCCACTTTAGAAAAACTAACATCCTTAATGCCATACTTTTGCACATTTACCATAGCACTATCATGGTGTTCTTAGAGTTTCACTGAAACACATGGTCTATTAAGATGGCAATCAAACTGTACTGTTGTATATATGCCAGTAGCATGGTCATACGTGCGCTTGGTGTGACGTTACAAACCTCCTGCTGCAGCTTCTGGCTCTGGGAGCTGAAGCAGCCGATCGGACCAGCGTCTGAAGGACTGGAGCGATTGCGAGCTTGGCTGGCCAGCATGTTTATTTTAGTGAAGAGAGACGGCATCTCGGTCTCCAGCTGGTAGGTGAGGTTGTGCAGAATACACACGCAGTTCTCCAAAGACTGTGCGCAACACAAGAACACAATAAAGAATATTACAGCATCATAATTAAAAACAAATAAAGGGATGGTTCACTATGACATAGCTGGGTCCTGCAGTGTGGCACGCTTTAACCCTCTGGGGTCCTTCGGCCCAAATGGACCCGAAGCATTTAAATAAATTTTTTTTTTTTAAATCATTGCTTTATCGGAATGGTCCGAAATTTGGTGACTTTGTTGGTACTTGGCATATGAACACCCCAAAAAATTGGGGACAGGATTTGAATAGTCTAAGTGGTTTAAAAAAAATAGTCACACTCAGGACCTTCGGGTCCAAATGGACCCGCATAGGAAATGAATGGGAAATTGGCAAAAATGTGGAAATACAGAGTTATTTTGTGAGTACAAACTACAAATCAGCCACGATCCAGAAAAAAAGCACACAACAGTGAAGGGGTGAATCTATAAAACATCAAGAGTGCAAAACAGACACATCCACACACACACACACAAACACACTTTTATACACATACACACTAATAAATTCAGATTACATATGGGTTTTGAATTTTTAAAATGCTCAGTTTGTCCACCAGATGGCATCCATCTCATTTCAAAAATTGCTTTCATGAGGCCTAGGCTTGACTCTAAAATAAAACACAGCTTTAAAAAAAATTATAAAAAAATAAAAATATTTTTTTTAAATTTCTATTATATTCAATGGGGAAAAAATGGGTCATAATTATTGCATTAATATTAATTATAAATCATTTTTATTTTTGAAATTATCTCAAAACACCAAAAAAGAAAAGAAAAAATATTATAAAAAACAAGTAAAAAAAAAAAAAGAAGATTTTTTTTAAATAAATATTAATCCCACCCTTCCGGCCCATTTGGACCCGAAGGTCCTGAGTGTGACTCTGAAATGAAGGACCCCAGAGGGTTAATTTATCAATCCAACTATTCTTCTTGGTTTTTCTTAACAATTTTATTGTATAATTTTATTGTTATGCATGCAATTTTTGTGACCTCATATTAAGTAACTATATAGCAGGGTTAGGTGAGCAGCTAAAATAAACACATTAAAGCAGACAGGAACCTGCCAAATACTGGGATTTTCTCAATTTAACTTTTAACTCATTGTTATGCTAATAATATATAAAATAAATAACTATTTCTATAAATAAATAGATATTTACATAAACATATCATTTATATTTAAATTGACATGCCATTGCATTAACGTTAAATGTGCAGCCAGATTTGTAAGTATATGCAACTTTGTTCAGCTGGAAGAGAATGAAGTGAACTTGACAATGTGTGTTTTTGAAAAAATTGACAAGCACTAATTATTTATAAATCCACTGAAATGTTGAAACATGCTTGCGAGGTTCTGATCAAATCTGGTCGTCAATTAAGAGGGAGTAATGAAGAGTTTTAAAAGCCACAACAGTAGAGTTTGGCTGTTGGAAACGCCTTGTGTTTCTACACGCTTCCCTCAGGGGGTTTTAACGTTTCGGCACCAGCATAATAAAGTAGAGAAAGAAAAAAAAAAAATCATCAATGCCACACCAACATTCTCCACCCAGACTATGAAAACAACTTGACATCTCATGCCGTCTTAAAACTCTTTACTGCACTAATACAGAGAAAACACACTTTTTGACCAATGACTTTTCCAATTTTAATCACACGCTGCAAAAGATATTTTGATTCAGACTGACTCTTAATGAATAATTCTAATAAATAGAAAGCTGAAGTTTATAAGCAATTCATTGATCAATTTGCTCACAAACCAGGCTTGTGATTTCCATGACTTTGCAAGGCCTGTAAAACACAAGTCCCTGATATTTCCATGTTTTCCATGACCTGTTGTTTCCGTTCAGTAGCTCATAGAAATCAACAAAGATTTACCGTGTTATCTGGCATCCCACCATTAACGCAGTTCTCCGTGTAGCGCATGAGCGAGTCGATAAGACCTTTGCAGTTGCGCATGGCTTTTCGGTTTACCGGTTTGGAGGAGCTTAGGTTGCTGTCGACAAACAGAGAAACAGTCACATTGTGTTTGTTTTTAGCACTGGACTTCACAAAAGCAACAAACAATCTTAGGACGGAACTGAATTCAAATGTTTATACGCTATTTTGATAATCTGAGCCAATATTATAGCTACACTTCCAATAACTTCACTGCCACTTTTAAGGCCCACTCATCATGCAATGCAAATACTCGGTATGTCAATATTGCGCAGCTGATTCTGGCCGAGAACCGCCCACTCACAAAAGGGGACTTATGATTGACATGTGAAGTGACCAATAGCAGTCTGTTTTGGTTTATGTGCTGTTTAAGGTTATACAGAATTTCTGATGGCCTAAAAGTCACCAAAAATCAAACGTTTTACGGAGAAAACGCAGAGTATTTGCTTGTGAATATAAGTGCCTTGAACAAAAGTTCAAAAATGAGAATTAACACAGGAGAATATAGTAAATACTATATATATCAGCTAAACTAATAGATATCAGCATACTTCATCAGTTGATTAATCACAGTACATTAAGACATTTTTTGTATTACATGTGCTTAAATATTCATTTATCAAAAACTCATTTGCATACATTTTCATAAGAGAAAGCTGAACATTGGAAGAAGTTAAGCTTCATTTTGTTAAAGTTAAAGGTTTTTGGATCTCTTTTTATCACTCCATAAATCAAACAATACTGTCAACAGCCAAATTATTATTTTGATTTTTTTTTACCATGTTTTTATCAGGCAGATGATATATGAACAAACCTCTCAGTAAAAACCTTCAGAATATAGATAGGAATAAAAATCTAAAGTTTAAGTGTAGATAAAGTGAATTAAAATAAACAAATGTGTATTTTAGATGTTGTCTTTCCACTATTCTGAAAGTAGACATGTTATGGAAGCAAAATGAAAATGCACGAAAAGCAACGCTTTTGCCTGTAGTGTCTCGCCTTAACATCAGCAACAGGACAAATGATCATCATCCTCAAAAGCGCTCGTAGTTTTAACGTTTCCGCTAATGATGGACTGACAAGAAAAGACGTGCAGCCAAAAGTTCAATAAAGCCAGGTGATCGGTTCAGAGCTTGCCAAATCCAGAAATAGATTTACAGTTTTGTTCAAACAGTATGTGGTCTGTGGGTGTGCCAAGGCTAATATAAACCCAGATAAAATATTTGAACAGCTTACTGGTGAAAATGTAACCCGAGTAAAAGGAGCGTCAGGTACTGGCTCTAACAACAATAGTACTATGAGTGGAGCCAGCACTGACGTTTCCCGTGTTTACAGCACACACAGAACTCAATCCAGTACGTGTGATGTTACCGTAGGCATCCCGTGGCATTGTTGAAGACCTCTGGTGCCAGGCTTGTGTTGGCATTGTCGTCTGTGCTGGCTGAAAACGGCGCGATGACCTTCTCCGTGAGCGCGGGCAGAGCCGTGCGGAGCAGATCGGGCTTCAGGTTATCAGCGGAGGAGAGGTTCCACAGGAGACCTAGAGAACACACACAGATCAGTTTGAGAAGAACACAATGCGATCTTATTTATACAGCACATTTCATACAATGGCAATTCAAAGTGCTTTATATGATAAAAAAAGAATCATAAAATAATCACAGCAGATGCATAAGAAACAAAAAATAACAATAAAAGCAAATAATAATAAAAAAGATGAATTAATTAATAGTAACACTTTACTAGTAATCTAGGCTTTAGTAGGTGATCTACACTCACCGGCCACTTTATTAGGTACCCCATGCTAGTAACGGGTTGGACCTCCTTTTGCCTTCAGAACTGCCTCAATTCTTCGTGGCATAGATTCAACAAGGTGCTGGAAGCATTCCTCAGGGAGTTTGGTCCATATTGACATGATGGCATCACACAGTTGCCGCAGATTTGTCGGCTGCACATCCATGATGCGAATCTCCCGTTCCACCACATCCCAAAGATGCTCTATTGGGTTGAGATCTGGTGACTGTGGGGGCCATTTTAGTACAGTGAACTCATTGTCATGTTCAAGAAACCAATTTGAAATGATTAGAGCTTTGTGACATGGTGGAAGTAGCCATCAGAGGATGGGTACATGGTGGCCATAAAGGGATGGACATGGTCAGAAACAATGCTCAGGTAGGCCGTGGCATTTAAACGATGCCCAATTGGCACTAAGGGGCCTAAAGTGTGCCAGGAAAACATCCCCCACACCATTACACCACCACCACCAGCCTGCACAGTGGTAACAAGGCATGATGGTTCCATGTTCTCATTCTGTTTACGCCAAATTCTGACTCTAACATCTGAATGTCTCAACAGAAATCGAGACTCATCAGACCAGGCAACATTTTTCCAGTCTTCAACTGTTCAATTTTGGTGAGCTCTTGCAAATTGTAGCCTCTTTTTCCTATTTGTAGTGGAGATGAGTGGTACCCGGTGGAGTCTTCTGCTGTTGTAGCCCATCCGCCTCAAGGTTGTGCGTGTTGTGGCTTCACAAATGCTTTGCTGCAAACCTCGGTTGTAACGAGTGGTTATTTCAGTCACTGTTGCCCTTCTATCAGCTCGAACCAGTCTGGCCATTCTCCTCTGACCTCTGGCATCAACAAGGCATTTCCGCCCACAGAACTGCCGCTCACTGGATGTTTTTTCTTTTTCGGACCATTCTCTGTAAACCCTAGAGATGGTTGTGCGTGAAAATCCCAGTAGATTAGCAGTTTCTGAAATACTCAGACCAGCCCTTCTGGCACCAACAATCATGCCACGTTCAAAGTCACTCAAATCACCTTTCTTCCCCATACTGATGCTCGGTTTGAACTGCAGGAGATTGTCTTGACCATGTCTACATGCCTAAATGCATTGAGTTGCCGCCATGTGATTGGCTGCTTAGAAATTAAGTGTTAACGAGCAGTTGGACAGGTGTACCTAATAAAGTGGCCGGTGAGTGTAGTTTATTTCTGCATTTACTAATGCATTTTTGCAGCAAATTGTAGGAGCTGAACAAACATGAATTAACAACAACAATCCTATATTTATGAATTAACCAAGATTGTTTAATGCTTTCGAAAGAAGTCTATTAGGCTCACCAAGGCTGTATTTATTTGATCAAAAAAATTATTTTCTATCGTAATATATTTTAAAATGTCATTTATTCCTGTGATGTCAAAGCTGAATTTTCAGCAGGATAACATTAAATTAGTTTTGCAAACAAAAGCTGAATATAAACGACTTATGCACCATTAAAACTGATAAAAACCCTCATACAAAATTAAATAAAAATCCAAACTATAATCATTTGAATATTTTAAGTAGAGAGCGAACATAATCTTGTCTACTATTCTGTCAAGTGCTTTAAATGGCTATGTTGACATATTCTACGTGTGTGTGCTTGAGTGTGTGTGTGCGTGAGTGTGTGTGTGCTTGAGTGCGTGTGTAAGTGTGTGTGTGTGTGTGTGTGTGTACAGGTTTGGCTGTACATTTGAGGGCCAAAAAATGTCCTCACTTACCAAGTGAAATATTATGATAACCTTTTTACTGGTCCTCACTAAAATAGTGAAACAAACATGTGTGCTTTTGTTTTTGTGATATATGAGGACACAAATGTGTATAATGACATGCATATTACACTGGTATTACAACTTACACGTGATATATGAGGTCATATTTCAAATAGCTTAAAAAACATAAAAAAACATTAAACATTAAAAAACTGTGTTTTTTTTAAATGTAAAAATGCAGGATGTCTCCTGTGATGGGTAGGTTTAGGGATAGGGGCAGTGTAGGGGGAGAGAATATACAGTTTGTCCAGTATAAAAGTCATTACGCCTATGGAATGTCCTCATATATCACAAAAACACAGCTGAGTGTGTGTGTGTGTGACATGACACGCTGAGTCACCTGTCAGGTGTCTCTGTGTCTCAGAGTTGGTATCGCTGAGCATCTGCACAGCCTGTGTGATTCCTCCACAGCGCTGCACTTCATCTTTATTGGCCTGGTTTTTGAAGACCACGTTTCTCAGGGCAGCGGCCACCGTCTCCTGGATCTGAGGACTGGGGCTGCTCAACAGGTTTACCAGCGGAGGAATGCCCTTCAGGGTCAGCACCTGTGAAACCATAAACCAGACCATCAAACCACTGCTAAAGGGCACTGTGCTGGTGCTGATACCATAGTACAGTGATGCTATCAGATGCAGTGCTGTCACACAAGTAACTAAAGCTGAGCCTAAAACTAGAACAATACAAATTATTTTCAGTCCTTCAAATAAAGCTGAAATAAAATAAAATATAATTATTTCAACTAAAACAAACTAAATAATGAAAATAAAAGTCAATTCAAAATATTAATAAATACTACAATAGTATATAAATAATACTAAAATAACACTAATTACAGAATAAACTATGGTAATATTATATATATATATATATGAATACCATGGTACCTGTCCACATAACATGATATTACTATGGTACTACACTTACAAAGAAGTTTACCATGGTATTATCATAAAAATATGGTAATACCATCAGACAGTAATACGATAGTACATTCAGTCAGTACAAATATTTATAATATGAAATACTACGGTATTGACATGGTCCTACCATTATGCTATCAGAAGGTACTTTCCTCATTTATCCATTCAGTATTATGGTATATAATTAAAATACTACAGTACTGACAGTGACATGGTAGATGGTACTCTAATACATGTAAAGTAATACAATGTTAATAGCATGGTAAATGTCCAAAAAACTAATTTTTTATGGTGCATGTCTAAAAAACATGGTAATTATTTGGTACCTTTTGGTGTTTTTATAACACCATGGCACTTTTTTTTGTCAATTCACAGATATTTTTCAGGTATTATCATAAAAAATACACTATGAAAACATGTATGGTATTTAATTCAAGGTACTCTAACATATTTAAAGGAACACCATGGTAATACCATGTTAACTGTCCTAAAAACATATTATTTCTATTGTATACATTAAAAAACCCATGGTAAAAGCATGGTGGTTTGTGGTCGAGACCTCTTGCTTGGCCTTGTCGTCGGTGAAGGTGCTGTGCTGGATGTGAGCGGCTCCATACTGCTGGAAGTTCTCATCCGGGCTGAACAGATACTCAACCGCGTCTCGCATCGTCAAATCGGCCAGAAGCTTCTCTGCATTCATCCTGACGACACACGAGTGAGTGTGAGACCAGTCATAAATCACCACATCTTAACCAAAACACTACAAAACTCACCCAGAAATATCCTTGACTTGTCCATTCCTGATCATAGAGGTCCTGGACTCTGCGTTGGACTGCAGGGAAGACGGGCGTCTGCTGACGGCCTGGAAGGAGCCGATCTGATTGCTGTTGGTCATTCTGCCGAAAGTGCCGTTCCCGAAAGCCTGGTTAGGCTGACTGAAGGCCTTCTCCATCCGGAAGGTCTGTTTGGCGGTCTGGCTGCGTTGAGTAGCTCCTACTCCTCCACCGTTCACTGCGGGTTGGAAGCCCAGGTCCGGGGCGCTGCGAGTGGCTTTATAGCTGTACAGCTGGTTATTGGCCCGTGGCTGGACCGGGAGGTTGCCAGTGGGGGAGAACAAGGGCCGATCTACCCTGCTGGCGTTACTGGTCATCCGTTGACCGCTGGAGCTGCGGGAGTTGGTGGACTTGCGCACAAAGTTTTGCCTTTGCATATTCTGGACATGGAAACAATGGTTTTAAAGTCAGTTCTTCACTCACCTTGTCAAGGTGATATCATCATTTCTCATTAAGCAATTACAGGTGAAACTCGAAAAATTAGAATATCATGCAAAAGTTATAATTTTGATGATTATGGCTCAGAGTTTATGAAAACCCCAAATTAAAAATCTCAGAAAATTAGAATATTACATGAAATCAATTAAAAAAAGGATTTTAAATACATAAATGTCGGCCCTCTGAAAAGCATAATGATAATGATATAGTTAAATATACTAAATATATTAGTTTACCCTTTTAATTTGAATTACTGAAATACATGAACTGTTGCACGATATTCTAATTTTTCGAGTTTCACCTGTACATGCAATAACAAAAAAAATGCAAAAACAAATTAAATGCAAAAAGAAATAATTGCAACAAAAAAAAATCATGCTAAAAAATTACATGCAAAAAAAATATTTTTTAAAAATATTTCATTAAATGCAAAATAGAGCATTTTACCTAGTGCGATCAAACTGTATAAGTATACTTTACTGTACGTTTTAAAGTCAATTCTGATATTATTTATAATTAAAATTTGAAATGCAAACAAATGAATGCAAAGAAATTACATGCAAATATGCACATTTTAATTTATGATTAAATGCAAAATAGAGCATTTAACTAGTGTGATCAGACTGCATGCTAAAAAGTATACTTTAGAACTAATTTTATAAGTATACACTAAAAATCATTCTGAAATCAACATTTTAAAGGAATAGTTCACACAAAAATGAAAATTCTGTCATCATTTACTCGCCCTCAAGTTCGGAAGAACCTGTATGAGTTTCTCTCTTCTGCTGAACATAAAATATGATATTCTGAAGAATGTCCATTGACCTCCATACTATTCAAATAATACTATGGAAATGAACAGGGCCATCAACTGTTTGGTTACCGCATTATTCAAAGCATCTTCTTTTGTGTTCATACAGGAATTCATACAAAGTCATACAGGTTTGGTTCAGAGTGAGTAAATGATGACAGAATTTTCATTTTTGAGTGAATTATCCCTTTAATGAATCCATGCCACAGTTTTGTCTGAACAAGAGTGTTGGCTGAAAGTGTTACTATGGGCACGTCCATGGATTAAAATGCAACCAAGGTAGTTCTACTTCTATGAAGCAACAGTGTGCAGTTTACGAGATTCTGATTCATTAGTCATTAACTGATTCATTAGTATAGTAGTATGTTCGTGCATAATTCAAACCACAACACTGTTTTACATCTTTTGCCGCTGTCACCTTTGGCTTGCTTATAGTTCACATAATATTCAGCAATATTATTGATTTGACGGCACTGACAGTATCAGATGAGAACTGAACTGAGCTAGATGATGACATCGCTGATTTCTCCAGAGCTGGATTGAACTCATTTCATAATTGATGATGAAATTTAAACGATTAATGAACCAAACTGAGTCAACACTGAACTGACTTCAGCTGAACAATGACACTGTTGTCTTCTGAGAGAGAACTGAACTCTGTTTGCATCAGTCATCATTACTTTCCTGCTTTTTACAGTAAAGGTGCTTTGAAACACTCTGTATTGTATAAAGCGCTATAGAAAAAAAAAGGTGACGACTTTTGCAGGATGTCAAAACAGGGTTTTATGCAAGTAAAAACAACATAAAAAATGAGGCGACACAACACGGCTGGATTACACACTCCATTAAAGCCAAACAAGACATTTAAAACACTGACAGTATTAGAATTCCTGTGGATACACCCAAAATGTAAAGAAAAGTTGGCAGAATACCTAGAAACCAGGCTGTTTGGTAACACAACACTGGGATGAGTCAGAAAAGGGAAGGAGAGGAGTGGTTTTCATTTAGCTTTTTCCCGTTTTTTTTCTTTTTCTGGCATAACTAACTAGAAAAAAGTGAACTAGGCAAGGGTCAGTAGCAGATCTAAAGTTTTAATGCAAGTAAGTAGACAATGAATGTATTGTACCCAACAGACACATTGATGGATTGTTTTTTCTGTCCTCATGTCCTGTTATTTAGAAAAAATAGCAGGAAAATATATGCGTAACCAGGTTGTTATTTACAAGCTAAAGCTAAAGACCGTTTGGCATTCCACAAATATCTATTGTTATCTGGAATCGATGACTCAAAAGAGAAGCGCTCAGCCTAGTGAATAAAGAAATGTGTTTTACACACCCAACTGTGGGAAAATTAAAACAATTTATTCACACCTGAAGTTCCTCATTAATAAAATACAAAGATATATAAGCGAACACGTGTATGAAGAATGCGTAGAGAACAATGAAATGATTGATGATTTTACCCCATTCGTCATGGTTCCTCCTCTGCTGAACGAGGGTCCGGGAGAAAACTTGAAGTCGTAAAACACACTGTCAGTTTCAGGGCCTGCAATAGAAGAAACTGTTTTAGGGTGCTATAATTCTTATCAAAAATAAAACATGCATTGAGGGACGTTTTGAATATTTACAGTATTAACCTATAACTAATGTATTATAGTACATATTTTACAGAGCGTTCCATTTTATTCTCTATATTAACATGAGAGATCACAGTCTTCACTGTTTCTAAATTAATTTTTTTCTTTTCAAGAACTTATTTAATATGCCTGAATGAAACAAATTGGATTACAATTAAAGTGATTTTTTTTTAAAAGAGGAAAGAAAATCATGCACATTTTCAGTTGTACAGTATTGGATTGTCTATCGAACATATAAATAGATATATAGAGTTTATAATAGAAATCAATAGACAATTTGATTTTAGTTTGCCAGACCAGATTTTAAACTCCAGTATGCAAATGTACTACCCGTAAACAAGCTGTTTACCTAGAGGCTATTTATGGTGGGAAAACAGCTTTAGAAAACACTCAAATAGGGCATATTTTACATTGCCTGTCTTGAAACCCCCCAAAAATATTACTTTAGAAGTTTTGGTAATGGAAACATTACTAAGGTACCCCATCTAAAACAAAAAATCCCTTTCTTCTAAGAATATACTATGCCACTACCATGCCACTTTTTTGTGACCGTTCCTGTAAAAAGTGCCATAAAATATCAGAAAAAAATGTGATAGAAAAAATATATGCTAATACCATGTTACCAAGCCTTTTTGCCCCAAGAAAAGTGCCTTGAATGTCTTATTGAGCAAAGACCTCAGATATGGTAAATGTAAATGGACTGCATTTATATAGCGCTTTCACAGACCCAAAGGCCACCAAAGCGCTTTACAATTTGCCTCACATTCACCCATTCACACACTCATTCATTTCACTTTTACGCTGCACTTGCACTGCAGGCAGAATAAAATGTGGGTTGCACTTTATTTTACAGTACGTGCACTTATGTGTGTATACAGTGTACTTACCTAAGAAAGTACTGGTTAATATAAGGAAACTTAAAGGGATAGCTCACAAATTGGAAGTTTGGTCCCCATTGACTTCCATTGTATTTTTCCTACTATGGAAGTCGATGGCTATCGTCAACTGTTTGATTTACAAGCATTCTTCAAAATATCTTCTTTTGAGTTCAACAGAAGAAAGAAACTCATACAGGTGAGTAAATGATGACAGAATTTTCATTTTTGGGTGAACTATCCCTTTAAGCTTAGGTTCAGGGTTCGTACCAGTTATTATCCAGTTATTGAAATACAAAATATGTGCAAGGGGAATAAGACTGTAAAATAAAGTGCTCCCAAAATGTCTCTTTTGTTCTGGTCTATGTTAATAGTATTATAATAGTATAATAGTATTAACTTAATACCATGGACGTTTTTAGACTCTTTAACAACCAAAACTATCAATTTAAGCATTTAAAAAAAAAGTTAGACTCGGAATAAAATCCGTCTGGCATTAAATGTAGAGCAGAAATGTACTCACTGGTGGGTGAGGCGAGGCCGGACACACTCTTGCTGCTGTATTTGGACTTGCTCCTCTTGATAGTGTGCACCTGGTCCAGGACTCTCTGTTGCGCGGATCTCAGCTCGCGGTCGGACGGGAGCGCGAGAGACGTGTCCTCCACAGCTCCTATCGAAAGAGCCGATTTTAAAGGTTCGGGCATCATTTTTGCTTTTGCCTCTCCTCCAGAGACAGGTGAGGTCCAATTCGTAAAGCTCCAACTATCTGCTCCGTCTGGCTGCCGTGTGTTTGATTCAGGGTTTGACTCACAGAGAGATTGAACTAGACCTGCCCTAATTCACGCCCATGTGACGCCCAAAACCCCATTCAACACCTTTTTCTGCTCCTCTCACTGATGATGATTCTAAGAAAGCCCTTTTATGATAGAACGAACTGTCACTTTTAATAAGGATAATAGATGTGCTTTAAAAGCGTTTTGATTTTTAATGTTACATGTGTAGGCTAAAGGGCGTTGTAAGGCACGGTGTATTTATTCACAAAACACAGTTTTTATTGCTTTTCTACTTGTTTTATGCTTTAATACAGTAGGCTACATAGTTATATTTAAATAGTAGCTACATAAAAATATCGGACGAGACGATTTCAAATTTAAATCATTTTTTTTAAATACGCAAATTCATTAGTGACACACTTCCGCTAGAAAATATAGTCCCTTTGTAAACAATAAAAGAACGACTGGGTGCTTTAAATTATATAGGCCTACAGTAACCAACAACGTTGTATTTAGCATCCAGGACCAAACTATTTCTATAAAAATAATAAAATCAGATGAAAAATAAATAATATATTTGTTATATAAAATAAATTGGTAACACTTTACAATAAAGTCTTTGTTAACATGAGTTAATGTATGAACTAACAATGAGTAATACATTTGTTACAGTATTTATTAAACTTTGTTAATGTTAGTTAATAAAAATCCAGCTGTTTATTATTCATGTTAGTTCACAGTACACTAATGTTAACAAATACAACATTTGATTTTAATAATGTATCAGTAAATGTTGAAAATAACATTGACTAAGATTAATAAAGTAGTAAACTTATGTTAAATAATGAAATCTTACACATATTATTATTACATATATTTGCACAGGCTAAATCAAGGGAATTACATTGATTAATATGCATTTATTGTGAAGTAAAAATGACCATAAAAAAAGCATGTTGCGCCTACAATTAGCTTACCATACTATTATAGAAATTAAGTTGATATCCTTTCTCACATTTTTCTCTGTACTGAAGCCTGACCCATCTGTCACAGACAGTTCATAGTCTAAAAGACCTGATTTTGGTCATAACTTGGTCAAAAAATGTTACTGTGTTTTGCCCCAATGAAGGTGCCTTGAATGTACTGTGCAATCACAAACCTTGAATATATACTATTGAATATATATAAAAAATATAGATCCAAATATAGAAAAGTTGTCAATCAAGTTTAACATGTAAAGAACAGAAAGGTTTAGGATTGCAGATCTGAGCAACTCCAAATAATGTCTCAAATATCATTTCCAGTTTACGCTGCACTACAAATGTGTTTTTGCTCCAATCTATTTATTTGAGACAATATTTTCCAATATGAACAAAAGACTGCAGCCATGAGAGCTTAAGCTGAGAACCTCCATGACTAAGTGTGAAGACTCATCATCAGGCCATCAGCCTGCATTAGTAACAGCACATGTGCAGACAGCAGGTCTGACACACCCAGACGAGAAGGGCTCTGTATGGGCGGGTCTCGCTCCACAAACGTCTCGTCTCAATGCGTCAACTGCACATGACAGCGTATACTTTCAGACAATGAATGTTTGTCCTAAGTAACAAAGACGAGGAGAGCTCACTTTCTCTTCTTGTACTTAAGTGAGAATAAATAACCATATTAAACACCAATTAAAAACTTAATTTTGCTGTGATCACTTAAGTTGCGTAATATGTCTATTTTAGCATTTTTGCAAACTCTGAGAAAGGCCAAACTTCATTTTCAAACAAAACAAACTAGTCCAAATATCCACTAAATGCAGTAACTGCCAATATACTGTATATTTGGGTAATAATAATAGCTACCATGAAACCTTTTCTTAACTCACCAAAGATTCTTATAATTCTTCTAACCAACACTGCACCCTTGTGGCAAGTATCACATTAAAATAAACATAAAACATCACCAGCTTGCTGAAAAATTATTTTTTTTATTTATTAAAAGGTAGACTTGTGTAACAAAACAGTTATATTAGAGATAAATGAGGTTGTTGCCAGGTTAAACAAAAGGAAAATATCTTTATGGACACCGTTATGGAGTGGTTTGACAAAACAATTTAAATGGCAGCATTATTACAGTGCACTATATGATTTATCTTTCTCCACTTGACTTTTCCAATACAGAAACTGTAAAATAGCTGGAGATATGAGGTTGTTTCTGGTATCCCGAAATGGCCTTATCATGAACATAACTGTTCACATTCACAATGAAAGCAGACTTCAAAAGTGGATGATTGGAAACATTTAACATACAAAGGACAGAAACACCTGCTCAGCAGGTCTCCATTTAAAAAAGTGAACAAAGGAATATTCAATTAGCAAGTGATTATGAGCTGTCATTTGTGATTCATAGTGGTCAATTATTCTAAAGCAGTGGTTCTAAATCTATATGTATCCATAAATATATACATACATATGATTTCAGAAGTTTCAAGAACTATGTTTTTCGATAAAAATAATTTATTAGTAATTGAGAAAAAAAATGCAATTTAGTTTATGATTTAATGTTTCTTTTTTTAGCATTTTAATTGTTATATAGTTAAAATTAAGCTACATTAAAATTATTATTAATAATATTCCTATTATTACTAAAAACAATATTAATTATATTATTTACCCATTATAATAACTATATTAAGTAATTATTATAATATATATATATATATATAAGAGTTTTAGTCATCCTGCAGCCTCGGATGTTTGCTGAGGCCACCTGGACTGAACAAATGAGGTTGAAGTGAAATAGATATGTCATGGAATTAATGATTTTGCTAATTTTCTGGTTTCTTTGTTTCCAGAAGATTTATCCTCAATGTATAGTAAAAAAAAAAACTGCATAGTTACAACCGGTTGTGTTCAGTTCAGTTAAGACATCAAAAATAATGACCCATTGTCCTTCTCATAAAGTTTCAGTTCAGTATTCCTTCCAATCACCACATTTAGTTACAAATGCACAGAATCCTTGCTGTCAAGGGAATTTCGCAAATGGTCCGATGATAAAACCTTGGGGTACTCCTTAATCCGTTCCTGAAGGCTACTTAGTGCCAGTCTCATCTGGTCCTCAGTGCCTTGCAGTGCCTTCGCCTCCATGCTGTAGAAGACGTATAGCATCAGTGTAGAGAGGAGGACGGCAAAGCACAGCGCCCCCAGCAGGTAGAAAGAGGCTTTAGGAAAGGGCTGTTCAGCTCCCAGAGCAAACAACGGGACAGCGGCGATGGCTAACTCAAGTACTAGCAGGACAAGACCCATGATGCCTGTACGAGCCGCAGTGTGGCGCATGCGCTCAGAGCAGTGTAGACCCACCTTTACTTCAGTACGAGCTTCATTGACTGTGTTGACCAGCTCAGGAAGCTTATCTGAGAGAGAAGCATACATATACACTACCATTAAAATGTTTGCAGTCAGACACATTAAATTGATCAGAAGACATTTATAATTTCCCTTTCAAATAAATGCTGTTTTTTAAAAACTTTCTGTTCATTAAAGAATCCTGAAAAGAAAAATGTATCACGGTTTCCACAAAAATATGAAGCAGCACAACTGTTTTCAACATCGATAATAATCAGAAATGTTTTTTGAGCAGCAAATCATCATATTAGAATGATTTCTGAAGGATCATGTGACACTGAAGACTAGAGAAATGATCACAGGAATAAAAAAATAAAAAAATACATAAAATATATTGAAATATAAATCATTTATTTGAAATTGCAATAATATTTCACAATATTACTGTTACTGTATTTTTGATCAAATAGAAGATACTTCTTCCAAAAACCTTTTTTTAAAAACATATTACCAGCCTCAAATAGTTGATGATGTCAAAACAGTCTTTAAAGAAGTAGTTCACCCGAAAATGAAAATAATCACTCATGATGTTTCAAGCCCAAAAGTTTTTTTTTTTTTTTTTTTGATGGATCTGTAAGGATCAATAAGGATATTTTTTTTTGTACTAGCTTCTCAGACAAGCTATGTGAAGATTTCTCCTTAATGCATTTCACGAAAAAAAAAATATATTATGTGAGTTTGGAACAATATGAGGGCGAGTACATGAATATTTTTTGGGTGAACTGTTCCTTTAAAACACCTTGACAGTCAATTTCCAAACTTTATTATGGAGCAAAAAATTTTTTGCTTATAAAAAACAGCTTATTGTGTTGTTGTTGTTGCATGCAAAAATACATGTAATAATATTTCAAGATCCCAAAAACTGACGCGCAAATACCTGGAATACAGCCAAATTCTCTCTCTTTGCATCCATTTCCCTTTTTAGTTGGCGTAAACAGGAACTCGGCAGTGAGAGCTTCGTGGTCTGAATAAGGAAAGGGCTGTCCAGGAACTGGACCCTTAGTGGTGGACAAAGACTCACAGCTCACATCTACTTCCCCTGATCCCTGCAAGAAACAGCGCTGTCAGCATTTATGTGTGTACGAGCAAATAAAGACAAAACTAATAGAAGAATCTATAGTTCGAAGAATAGTTAGAAAACTAGAAATTTCTGAGGTATCATTTATGTATGTCTGCGAGATGAGTTGTCAAAGTTTAATACTTTGGGTTTGTTTAGATCATTAAACCAGACTATAAGCAACAGTTTGAGTCTCAGAAAACACCACTTAATGTAATAGAAATAGGAGAAAATTGTTGTAAAATCTAACTTTTACCTTGAACAGGATGTAGTCTATCCGGACTCCTCCCCCAAAAGGAACAAGACCATCCGAGTGTGTGAAAGGGTTTTCAGATATATGGGTGAATCCTTCCTCACATCCCTGGTATTAACGACAGGATTGTCATTATAAATCATAACTTAGGCCCTGTTTACTCCTGCTATTAAGATGCATTCTGGTCGATCGGATCACAAGTAGACGAGGGAGACACATACCCGTTTACACCTGGTGTTTTAATCCGTCTCTTTTGTCCACTTTCAACCACTTCTGTTCTGATTTCTTTGAGGGGAGGGTTTATGGGCGGGTGTTTTTTCAGATCTTTCGATCTAATGGACAAAACAAGCTTGCGCAGTTTACATCTGAACTCGACTGGAGTCGACGGAGAAACACACGGAGAGCATCAGCTTTAGTTTCTCTGACAGACGCAAGACCAGCCGAACGCTGTGAGTGTGTGTTAGAAATCAGGAATGGTGAGAGAACATTGTGATGGGACGTTTGTCGTCTTCAAACCAAACTTGGGTGTCCAGCCGACAAAGTTTAAATCCCGTCTGGCTGGCGCACTTCCCATGATGTTTAATGTTAAGTCAGTAGGCGGAGAGAAGAGTGTTTTTTGTGGCTGTTCGAACACATTCGACCACACGAGTGTTTACACTACAAAACCAATCCGGTCGAATGTGTTTTTAACAACCTCTGGAAGTGTTCGAAAGTGGACAAGCTCAAAACAGTTTTAGACCCCGTTTACACCTGTATGTAGCGTCGTCTACTTGTGATCCGATCGACCAAAACGCATCTTAATATCAGGTGTAAACAGGGCCTAAAACGTTCTGAGCTTGTCCACTTTCGAACACTTCCAGAGGTAGTTGAAAACACATTCGACCGGATTGCTTTTGTACTGTAAACACTCATGTGGTCGAATGCGTTCAAACAGCCACACAAGACGCCTACTGACCTAACATTAAACATTATGGGAAGCGCTCTTGCCAGACGTGATTAAAACTTGGTCGGCTTGAGACCCAAGTTTGGTTCTATAAAAAACGTCCCATCACAATGTTCTCTCATCATTCCTGATTTCTAACACACACTCACAGCGTTCGTCTGGTCTTCCGTCTGTCAGAGCAACTAGCTGATGCTCTCCGTGTGTTTCTCCGTCGACTCCGTTTGTCCATCAGATCTGAAAAAACACCCGCCCATAAACCCTCCCCTCGAAGATACCAGGACAGAAGTGGTTGAAAGTGGACAAAAGAGACGGATTTAAACACCAGGTGTAAATGGGTATGTGTCTGCCTCGTCTACTCGTGATCCGATCGACCAGAACGCATCTTAATAGCAGGAGTACACAGGGCCATAGACAGCTATGCAACATATCATTACACACACAAGTCATCACAAGATGTCAGACAGGATCACACTGCATTACTAACGTCAAAGTTGGCGGCCTCACTGAAGCTATCCAGTAGTCCAGTGTAGTTCCTCAGCAGTCTGGTGCCGAGATCGTCCGGGTGCATGTTCAGATCTCCAGCCAGGATCACCACGTCCGCTCCAGCACTAGTGTGCCTTTGAGTCGTGAGCATTGAGGAATCAGAGCAGGAATCTGAGTGGCTTACGTTTATTTTCAACAAAAACCCTGATCTGATCAGTGTGATCTCAGGCACATTTCATTGAAAGATCAAGCAATTAAAAACTATATTAGGCTTGGGCCATGGGTAAAACTGCAAAAAGAGACTTCTGACCTTATGAACTGTTGCAGCTCCCAGGCTTGAACCACTCGGTGCGGGAGATACGAATCTTTCTCTCTGCTATATTCCGCATGCAGCTGGAATAAACACAAACATTCATGCCAGTGTTGTTATTGTTAAACAAAAAATTCAACAACAAAAGAATTGGTAGTTGAAAATAACACTAAAATTAAATGAAAAACTTTACAATAAGGCCCTATTAGTTAACACTGGCTAATGCATTAACTAACGTTAACGAGCAATGAGCAATTTACAGTATTTATTCATCTTTGTTAACATTAGGTCATAAAAATACAAGTTTCCTTGTTTGTTCATGTTAGCTCAGGTCCATTACATAATACAGCGGTTCTCAAAGTGTGGGCGCGCCCCACTGGTGGGGAATAGAGACATGACAGGTGGGGCGCGCCAAACGGGAGGAAATTTTCCTTTTTATGCCTTTATATCTTTATCCAGACATCCCAAATGTCCCGGAAGTTCCAGGAGTCTCCCGCATATTGATAGCGGCTCCTTGACGCCCGCAAATGAGATCCAATCTCCCGGAATCTGGAGCAAGACCGCGCACTACAGTAGAGAGTGACTGTGATATGTAGCCTATGTTTCGCGCCGATGGCCAGGCGCGCTGGAAGCTGTTTCATGCGTAAGTGGGGGCTGAGGGCTGGGTTGGAAAATATGTGACGTCATTATGTAGTGGCTTACGACAAGACATGAAATTTCTCTGAACATTGAACATGATTTGAGAGTGGCAGCATCAAGCCTGCAACCCTGCTTTGAGAAATTGTGCAATGCAAAACAGGCTCATTGCAGTCACTAATGCAGGGATAAATAGACCTGTCTTGCCATTTGGATTTCTCTTCTTTTCTTTTTTTAACAGATTGCAAAGTGGCACTTTTATTTCTTTTCTATTTTTGAGGCACTTTTATTTTCTCTATTTTTGAATTTCATGCAAGTTTTGACACAGATGCACTTCATTTTCTTTATTTTTGAACTTGCTGTTATTTGATGTAGATAGTTAGTTTGTATTTAGATACAACTTGTTACTATACTGATACTACTTGTTACTTCAATAAATTGGAACATTTTAAGCTTGTTACGTATTTCATTAGCATTGTGTCGGGGCGATGGGGGCAGTGGGGCTTGAAAATTCCCCCTAGTGCAAAGTGGGGAATGACCGAAAAAGTTTGAGAACCACTGACATAATATTAACAGATACAACTTTTGATTTTAATAATGTATAAGCAAATGTTGAAATGAACAGAAAGTAGGATTAATAAATGCTTTAGAAAGTTATTAATTGTTAGTTCATGTTAACTAAACTAATGTAGTTATCTAATGTTAACAAATGGAACCTTATTGTAAAGTGTTACCTTAAAACTTAAAATAAAAAAACTTAAATGAACATTAGAAATGTTGCCTTAGCAACTAACTGAAATGAAACCAGTTTCAGTTTAGGTATTAAAATTGAAATAAAAAATAAAAATAAATTAAAGCTAAATAGAAAGCACATAAGTATGGAAGCTTGTTTCCGCCACTGAATAAAAAAATAAATTAAATAATTGCGACTTTTTATCTCACAATTGCGAGATATGAAGTCAGAATTCTGAGAAATAAAGTCACAATTGCGAGATATAAAGTCGCAATTGTGAGAAAAAAAAAAGACAGAATTGAGACTTTTATTTCACAATTTATAACACATAATTGCGAGTTTATATCTCGAAATTCTGACATCTTTTCTCAGAAATGTGAGATATAAACTCGCAATTGCGAGTTATCAGGCCAATTCTAAGGGATAGTTCAGAATAGTTTATATCTCACAATTCTGACTTTACAACACGCAATTTCGACTTTATATCATGCATTTCTGACTTTATATCTCGCAATTCTGACTTTATAACTTGCAATTCTGACTTTATAACACGCAATTGTGACTTTATATCACGCAATTCTGACCTTACAACATGCAATTGTGAGAAATAAAGTCAGAATTGTGAGATAAAAAGTCGCAATTACCTTTTTTATTTTCCATTCTGTGGCGGAAACAAGCACCCATACATAAGTGCTAATAGCAAAAGCACATAATAAAATAACTAAAATGAAAAATAAACAGTAAATTCAAAATATTAATAAATACTTTAATAGTAAAATAAGACTCGTACACACATTTCGCATGAACTTACATGAGTTACAAAGACATGAACATTCAGCCCACTGATGTTAAGCAGGACCTTCCCGACAGCCTTGCCACCAAACCAGTCTCCATGTTGTGCCTGATAAAAGATCAGATCATTAACAAGCCTTTTACAGAGCATCAATCAGCCCTGACACCGAAAGAGGAAACTGACGCCACTTAGGTGGAACATACAGTTTATTTACAACAGGTAGTAAGTATGTGTCAATAACAGATGTATGGTTTACAGGTTCGACTGGTTAGGATGTAAAATAATGTTTAAAACCATAATATTTTTATTATGTACATTATTAAGTATTTTATAAATGCAATAAGGTACTCAAGGATGCGCTATATTGTGAATATGATCATTTCTTAAATATGTATTAGAGGAAACTTCATTTATATTAAAGAAGAAAAGCAGAATGTCTGTACACATAATTGATCAGACCCACCATGTACGGATATCCATTTAATGAGTATCTGTACAGAAAAGCGTCATGGATTCGATGTCTGGAAAACACGGCCAGTCCACTACCTATAAATCCACTGAAGACGAGAAAATGTTACTTTAAGAGAAAATGCATTCACAACTGTGTCCCTGTGCTTATAAATTTGTGCATTTAAGCCTGAAGAACCTTTCAGGGACACAGAACTTCATTGATATATTCATGCATTTAAAGATGATTTACCTTTTAAAATAATGGGAAAACGGATAGACATTGCCAAGCTTCTTCTTTAAAAACAGAAAGTCTTTCTCACACCAGACCTGTAACCAACCAGCCCCCAAAAACATGTCATTCTACAGTACAATCCTGTTTTCAACAATCAGCTAAAAGACAACAGACGCGTCACGCATCTGAATCATATTCTTTAAACAGGTCATTTAATGATGAATAATATTTTTTAAACTGTGAGAGAAGTGGCTCCTCTAAATGTGTGGAATATGTGACAATCAAAAATATTAAAAACAGCAACCCAGGGGTCAGACAACGCAACTGAAACACTGATTTCTCACCATTCCTGATTTCTAACACACACTCACAGCGTTCGTCTGGTCTTGCGTCTGTCAGAGAAACTAAAGCTGATGCTCTCCGTGTGTTTCTCCGTCGACTCCAGTCGAGTTCAGGTGTCAATTGCACAGGCTTGTTTTGTCCATTAGATCGAAAGATCTGAAAAAACACCCGCCCATAAACCCTCCCCTCGAAGAAACCAGGACAGAAGTGGTTGAAAGTGGACAAAAGAGACGGATTAAAACACCAGGTGTAAACGGGTATGTGTCTGCCTCGTCTACTCGTGATCCGATCGACCAGAACGCATCTTAATAGCAGGGGTAAACACGGCCATAGTGAACAGGTCAATGTTCTGGAAGAGGAACGGCTTGAAGGAATAGTTCACTTTGAAATAAATTTTTGGTATGTTTTAGCTTACCTCGAGGGCATCCAAGATGTAGGTGTCTTTGTTTCCACAGTAGTTTCAATTTTGATATTTTTAGGTCAAACCGTTCTTGTCTGTCAGTCATATAATGCAGGTCTATGGTCACCACCTCAAAGAGCATGCACAGAGAAGTCCAAATTAAACATGATTTAAAGGGGTCATATAATGCCATTTTTGTACAAGCTAATATGATTCTTTAGGGTCTAAATTAAAAGTTTGTAATATACTGTAATTAAAAATTCTCATTAGTATTGTAAGAAAACACTTATTTTACCTGGTAAAAAACAGCTCTGTTTTCAGCACGCCGTTTCAGTGTATATGACTTTAAATGATCATGAGCTTTGCTGACTCCGCCTCTCTGTTCTATGCGTACACAAGAGCCGGCTCTGGCGTACACCGTTTGTAACACAATAACACAATAACCATAACACGTTGTTCAGTATAAACGTGGGATTATGCATTATATTGAGAACGTCATACATAGAAAACATGCCGTAATGTACCCTGAGTGTAAACCTTAGACGCATTCATTGTGAAGCGTGCAGCTAGCGATTTACAAGGATTAATATAAATATTAATATAAAGTTTAATAACACGTTACACTCACTTCAGTTTTTCTGGAGCAGCTGCAGGAACACGAATAGATGGTACCGATTCTTTCAGGAGCAGTTTCTTAGCAAAACCAGCTTTATACTGATCCTCGTTTATAAAGCAGTCTGGTGTGTGAAATGATTCGCGCAAACATGAGAGCATTGACGTTGCTCGTGGGGAATATTCCCTTCGAAAACAAACTCAGCCACTGCGTCTTCAGCGGTTCGGATTTAGGAACATTAAAATGACTGTGTTCGTTATTACACCCAAGAACAGAACACCACAATCGCTTAGACGCCATTCTGCTCATAGACAGTGCTCCAGCATATCAACAATGACCGCGCCGGTCCGCGCAGACTATGATTGACAGCTGGCTCACGAGCGAGGGCGGGTCTGTGTTGAAACGATGCTGTCAATCAACAATCGTGGGAGGGGCTTCCGAGCTTGTGACGTCACAGGCTCGAACGGCTCGATTTGAGGCAGGGGAAAGCATATAAGGAGATTAAAACAAAACCACTGGATGGATTTTTATCATTATATGATGGCTGTGTACAGACACTGCCAACACACATTTCAGTACAATCAACTTGTAAAAGTGCATGTACCATTATATGACCCCTTTAATGACTCGTAAATGTAAGGACACATTGATGGCCTAAGACACGAAACGAGCGGTTTGTGTGAGAAAACGAACAGTATTTATATCGTGTTTACCTCTTGTAACCACAGCCACGTCCAAGTGATCTGAGGGCGCCGGCGCTTCGGTCTGCGCAAGCGCCGGAAAGCGCCGGAAGTGATCTCTCGCGCGGTTGCAAATTTTTTGTTTGTTGATATATCGAAATTGTCTTCGGTTGCGATTTCCTGTATATCTAAATATGTTTAGATCTTCACAGTGAAAGGTAACACTTCCGAAATCTCTGTGTAAACAATAAGTGACGTACACGCGCGAGAGATCACTTCCGGCGCTTGCGTAGACCGAAGCGCCCGCGCCCTCAGATCACTTGGACGTTTAATTTGGACTTCTCTGTGCGTGCTCTTTGAGGTGGTGACCATAGACCTGCATTATATGACTGACAGACAAGAACGGTTTGACCTAAAAATATCAAAATTGAAACTACTGCGGAAACAAAGACACCTACATCTTGGATGCCCTTGAGGTAAGCTAAAACATACCAAAAATTTATTTCAAAGTCAACTATCCCTTTAAATCCCTCAGTCCGCTGTGAAGGACGTGTGTCGGTCATTACCAAGATGAATTGATTCTATTTGCTGCAAAAGGAGCCCATACTTAATAAATTATTGTGGTAAACCAGGTGTTTTAATTTCATTGTCCAACCCCTGTATATTTTGTGTGTGTGTGCACGTGTAAACGTCTATACTTGTGCAAGTTTGCTTCACCTCCTGCAGTAACGCTATATCCAGCTGTTCCTGATTCAGCAGGTCTCCGATCAGTACAAACCTCTCCCTGCAGTTCTTACTGAGGTATCTGATCCCCCTAAAGCAATCACAGCAAACTGATGTGTTCATCCTTTACGCATTTATTAGTTCATGATATCAATTCAGTGCATAGACATTTGAGAGAAAATAAAAAGATTTGACGAAATCTATTTTAACAGTAAGAAATGAAAAATCACAAATCTGCATATGCAAATTTCTGCAACACACAGTAAAAATGTTTATATACATATTATTTTCTGTTTTATAATTTTTATGAAATGAAAAAAATTTATTATAAATATCTCATTGAATAAAAAAAAAAAAGGTATTTTATCACTTGGTATGAAAACAAATATCTTGTAGAAAGATAGGGGAAGCTAATACAAAGTAAATATTTTAATAATTTGTTTTGCCATTTTTTTTTTAAAGTTGGAATCCTATAAATATACCCAGTAGGATCCGTTAGATAGATTAATTAGGAATATCAGAATCCTGTGCACATCGATGTAAAGCGTGAACTTACCAGCAGTTGAGAGAGAAGACACGTAATCTGATTGGCTCTGGGGTTGTCATGGCGATACGTCTTATGGGATGGTCTGTAAGGATGGATGAGAGAATTCAGTTTGAGCTCAGACGCCTTCCAACACACACAACAAAACGGGGTTGATTCAGTTGAGCATTTCTCAGAATGAGCGTTACTCTACGTTTGAAACTGTTGTTTACACTAAATAGTGCACTAAAAGCTTAAGTTAGCGGCTACTGGTTTGTCTTTAGCAATGTTTTGAAACATACTGTGAAAAAAACACTATTAAAAAATACATTAAAAATCAAATACATTCATCAACACAAAACAACTCCAAACCACTTCACCAATCTAAAAAAATATATATTTCATATTTACCTGACCTGGCTAAAATCTGCATTAAACCGAGAGCGGTGTGCTTTAGTCAGTAGCTTTCTAACAGACACTAGTTCACAAGAACCTGAACAAAAGCCATGCAAGTCATTTAAATACCTTTGACTGAGAGTAAATCCACAGACAGAGATCAGATCAGAAACACATGTCTGATATAGAGCGCTCATAAATCATAAAGCCCGGCTGCTGGTGGATATTATTATGGCTCCACCTCAATCCCGAGGGTCAAAGGTCCACTTACTGTTGTGTCATGGTGACACTGTACACAACACACCCTGCATACAAATTTATGTATGAATATATATATATATATATATATATAAAATATATTTTCTTTATGAATATTATGAATAATATATGTAAAATGTAACAAAATGTAAAAATACTACTAATTAATATTAAATTATAATATCATGGTATATTAAAAAAACATGATATTACCATCACTACAACAAAAAACAAGTAAAACTTTACTTAAGGTCTTTATATATATATAAAGTATTTTTAATGCATACATAATGCCTTGTAATGCATGTTATAATGCATTGTATGGTCTCATGAATAATTGTAACCACAGTTATAATTCATTATAGTACTGATCTATTCATTGTTACACCTTTAGACAGTGTAATGCATTCAATCAAATGACAAATAACACATTTCAGTATTGAAAATATTATAATGCATTTCAGTAGTGTCAATATTATAATGCATTTTGGTTACAATTATTTATGACACGATTTAATGCATTATAAACACATAATTAATGCATTATACATAAAGGCTTTAAGTGTTTTCAACACTTTTTTCTACGTGATGGTATTATAATGGGATCACACTACGGTAATACTATGGCATATCATTCATTACTGACATTAATGTATGAAATTATGATACAAGATTCTTACAAATCCCCTAAGATCGTTCTAACATAAACTCACAGCAAGTTTACACACTGACTGATCTGAATGGTAATGGCAGCATGTGCTTGTGATGACAGTAAATCAGTCTGTATTCATTTAACACCAGTACGCATCAACATTTGCTCCGGCAGCGTTATGATCATCAGGGACAGTAAACACAGACACAGCTGCTCCACACACACACTGACAGGCGCCAGGAGGATCTGTGTTTACTGACCGAGATATGAGGGAGACCAGCCACTGAGCTTGTGCCAATCTTACCATCATATATATATATGCCTATTCATATGCCTGATGAAGGTCGTGAGATCGAAACGTTGCTAATAAAATTTTGATACTCATTTGCAAACTGATAGTGTGCGGGAGTTCCTTGTTTTTTGTAGATTTTTTGACCTACTTAGTTGGTCTTTTTTTTCCCACGCACCTTTCACCTGCAGGTGTGCGATGGTGTTTGCTAATTGATTTATTATATGTTTAAAATGTAGTTATTCATGTGGCGTAAATTCTCAGCAACTATTACTGTTGTTTAATATGGGCTATATATATATATATATGTGTGTGTGTGTGTGTGTGTGTGTGTGTATATAGAGAGAGAGTGTATGCATGTATGTATATATATATATATATATATATAGAGAGAGAGAGAGAGAGAGAGAGAGAGAGAGAGAGAGAGAGAGAGAGAGAGAGAGAGAGAGAGAGAGAGAGAGAGAGAGAATGTATGTATGCCCATATTAAACAACATACATAGTAATATATATATATATATGCAGGATCTTTAATAACGTTTTAAATGCTGTTGTATGTAATCATATCAAATGTATAAAATGTACATAGGCTAATTTCTTTTGTAAGACCATATTAAACAACATAGTAATAGCTGCTTATTATTTACACCATATAAATAAATATAATAAAAAAAGAAAACCGTTATTTTAAATTGAATATTTTCCTGTTTTTACAGTGATCAAATAAATGAAGCATTGCTGAACATAAAATACTTATTGCAAACACACACAGACATACACAGGTACATTATTGAAGGTAGTGCAAACATGTGATGTAATATAGACGCTTAAATCACACTTTAAAATGAATGTCAATGCAAACAACAAACATCAAAGCAAGTATAATCTGCGATTAAATGATGCAGGATCTTTTAAAAGCTTTTAATTGCTATTGCATGCAATTTTATATGCTGGAGATCCGATCTTACCTTTATACTTGAATTAGTTTCACTCAATCAATCCAAGATAGTTTTCGGTGCTATAATCTCTGGTATAGACTATTCTTCATGAGCTTTTCAGTCTCATATCCTGTCCATTTGTTCCAGTCAGACCGCGACTTCCTCATCTAACGTTACCACTGATCTAGATGTCCTCTGAAGAAAAGGCATTCGGCTTTATCAAACGCGTTTGTTGGACATTTTACAATTAACTTTAAAATTTTCACCTGTAAAATGAGTAAACGTGTTCACGTGAATCAAAATAAAGCTTTATCAAGCGTCTCTCTGTGACTGACACACGCGTTTGTTCGGCGCATAATCAGAATTTTGCAATACAATGGTAAAAAAAAGAAGAAGTTTTTTTATTTATTCGTTTGTTTTCTCACAAGTGCTACTTTGCAGCAAATGTATTGAAGTTGGTAACGTTACGCGTGAGTCCGCCGACGTTCAACGTAGCGGATTCGTCATCAACAAGCGCCTCGATCACTGGATTGTTGGGAAAATGAGTTCTCTTTAAGAAACGTTTACTTTTCATTGAATCTGTTTGGTCAGGTACACAACAGATCAAAATAATAGTTGTCCTATTTTAACTGTTCACTGCCTAATTTCAATTAAGCTATTAATTCATTATTCGGGTGAAGATTATTTTCAAGACTGTTACTTTTCAGCGCTTTCCAGGATGGAACAATCACATGCGTTGGTGAGTAATGGATGGGATGTTTTTAAAGGGATAGTTCACCCAAAAATGCCCTAAAATTCTGTCATTTACTCACCCTCAATTTGTTCTGAACCTAAATAAATGTCTTTGTTCTGTTGAATACAAAATAAGATATTATGAAGAATGTTGTGGCCAAACAGATGATATATAGAAATAAAATACTATGGAAGTCAATGGGGGCCATCAACTGTTTGGTTACAAAATATCTTTAGTTTTCAGCAGAAGAGACTCATATAGGTTCAGATCATGAGGGTGAAATGACAGAATTTTATCTATCCCTTTAAGATCTCTCTTTAAATGTATTTGGCCGCGCCAAAAATAATCCTCGGAATTGAAATATTTACACAAAAGTACTTTCTAGAGAAAAATGTAACTCGTCAAACTAAGTTATACAAGATTCTACTAATTTTCTAGTCAGTTTAATGTAATTTGAGTTGAAATAACTTAAACATCCAAGTTGATTGTACTTAATTTAAGGCAGCAACTTTTTTTTTACAGTGTATAAATATATATTAAAACACCATAGTACTTTCTTGTAGGAATACTATCTCTTTCTGAACAGTCAGTAAACCTGGTGATAATTCATTACAATACATTTGAATTCTCACAAGTTGTTATATAAGCCGAGATATTCTGTTGTTCAGTACTGTGCTTTCATTCATATTTTTGTCAATCTCGTTGTTGTGAAAGAGAATAAGACACTTTTACAAAGTTGTAAGTGTGTTTTAAGAAATATGGTCCAAGGAGACCCATGCCATTTTATTGGTATTGCTATACATTGTTTTGATTATATTGTACAAACCCCTAACATTGAAGATATTCGATACATAACTGCAATGCACAATTGGTAACCAAGGCCACAACGAACTGTTAAAAACAGGGGAAAGCTTTTGCCAACACCACTTAGATTATGGCATAAAATAACAGAACACAAAAATTTTCAATGTATGCATATAGGATCAATCGAAAGTCAAAGAGCAAACATAAAATTAATAATTATAATAACAATAATTATAAAAATGGAAACAAAAAGCCTGTAAGAAAAAATACAATTGAGGAAACTCTCGTCATTGAAGTTCAAACATGAAAATGCAGGTTAAGATTGTACCAATATACATTAAATTTCTGCTTTTACCCAAGAATTAGCAGTACCTTCAAAACTTATCTAGACATAAAACTGCTATCAGCGAGTGCCAACTCATGACTAAAAAACCATCCCAAGAACATTTCCATACAAACTGTGCTGTCTTTGAATTTAAAGGGCAAGTGGAACAAAAATGCTACATGGTTTTATCAAGTACGGGTTTTTGAAACATCAAATCAGACCTAAAATTCAAGTTTTTAGTTCTCTATGGGGAAAATAAACATGGTTTCATTTTCACTAGTAGCAAAAGATACCCATGATCTCAGTTCAGCACTGTTAAAATGGCATAGTTCTGTAAAAACACCATGTCAAACACCTGGTGCATTCATGTAATCCAAAAGTAATTGTAAAGAAACCGACTTTACATCTAAAGGGAGTAAAAAAAAAAGAGATGCGCAAGCAATAAGAACTATAACACACAGTTGTGTCGACGACGTACATGGTGAAATTAATGACTTTCCCTTTTACACTTCAACACCAGGAATACTAAAAAACTGACGTTTAACTCAAAACGAAAGGATTCGACAGGTAAATGTAGTTGCAGAAGAAGGTAAACAGTGCAGGGACGACGTGAAGGTGAAGATGAACGAAAGAAGAAACAGCTTGAAAAGGCACACATTCTCTTTGAGGGTTTAAAGCACCAGAAAGTACGACAGCAATGCAACATTCACAGATTTAAAAAG